TTAGACATTGCATACACATATTTAGGGCCTCTGGAGAACTCCAACTTGGTACATAATGGATCCACCTGAATGTGTTATCTTGATATTTGAATAATTTGATTCGTGGAAGTTAGCTTTACCTTGGAAACAAGTCTTTTTAGCCTTGGATGAATGTTCAAATTTCTCTTAACAATTCAATCTTTTTGAGAAGTACTAATTCCCATTTTTCTTGAGAAGTACTGATTCCCATTTTTCTTGAGAAGTACTTGATGAATCATTGTTAAATTTCAGATGTAGATTCTTCTTGGTCCCTACTGGCTTAGAAAATGACTGACAGGAAGCCATCTTGGGTGTTTTACATTGAAAGTTTTTGTTATTTATAGCCCACTATCATCAGATTGTGTGCAAATCACTCTGCATCAGTGGTCCATCGTCCATCCATAAACAATCTTTTTATTGCTAGTTCTTGCATATGTAGGTTTCCCTTGGTCTCTAGTTGTGCCTGTGTATTTTTGGGACTGATAGAAAATCAAAATGGCCAAAAAGGAGCCATGTTGGATTTTGACTTTGAAAGTTTGTAATCACTATTTCTTGGGAAATACTGGATGAGCCTTTATTAAATTTCATAGGTTGGTTCCCTTGGTCCCTACTTGTGCCGATTAGATTTTGGGTTTGATAAAAAAAATAAAATTTCTTGAATATTATGTATAGTTACTTCTTGGTCTCTAGTTGTGCCCCTGTTCATTTTGGGACTGATCAGAAAGACAAATTGGCCATGGTGGCCATCTTAGATTTTGACTTTGAATGTTTGTTATTGCTATTTCTTGAGAACTAGACCATAGATCTTTCTCAAATTTCATGGGTATGCTTTCCTTGATATCTAGTTATGCCTGTTTGAGTTCGGGACAGACCAGAAAAAACAAAATGGCCAACAGGCAGCCATCTTGGATTTTGTCTAGTAAAGATTGTTATTGCTATTTCTTAAGTAGTACTGAATGGATATCTCTCAAATTTCATATGTATGTTCTCTTTGGTTTTTCCTTGACTGATGAGAAGAAATAAAATGGCTTCCTGGTGGCCATTTTGGATTTGGTAGGTAAAGGTTATCGTTGCTATTTCTTCAAAGAAATGTTCAAATGTCTTATCATGAAGAGCAAAAACAGAAGAGAAAACAGGGAAAATATCCAACTTTCAAAGAGCATATAAAGATCAAACAATGGTGGGCGCTAAAATCCCTCTGGGATCTCTTGTCATTTCTAAAGGAGTACTAGAGGTTTCTGACATGTCTTCACATACTATCGGATGAAATTAATGAAACTGTACACAATTGGTCTTATCTGAGAGGCAGTGTGCTAGAGCTTTTTCTGTTTTTGATTAATCATCTGACTATTAGCCTTAACGTCTGATTGGTCAGGTTTGGCCAAAATTTAGATGTCCCCTGATATAAGTGTTGTATGACATAGCGATAGCAATGCTGACATCTGTTTTCTGATTTGACAAACTGGTTGCTCAAGAGGGGCAACTGATTTGTTAAAGTTTCAGTATTCTTAGATTTCATTCAAATTTGATATGTAGGGTTTCCTTTTTCTAATCAGACAAAATACTCACCATTTCTTGGACTGTGATTGGTCAAAATTTAAAAATGGCCAGATTTCCATGAAAATTGGTATGTAGATTGGAAGATTGGTCAAAATTTAGATATCCAATTTTAAGGCAAATTTGAGCATAGGTTTTGTCTAGCATAAAAAACGCAATGATGGAGTCCTTTTCTGATGAAACAAAATGGCAACAGAAGGGTTGTTGAAATACCAAAATGTTGAAGACCAAATAAAGATCAAACAATGGTGGGTGCCAAGATCCCTCTGGGATCTCCCTAGTATTTAAGGGGATATTGTAATATTGTATTTTAATTGTTGGTCTTCTGTTCTTAGTATGATGAAGAAAATCCAGTCTTAAGACTGAGGAACACATATCATTTACTATTTTTTCAGTTTTATGGTGGTAAGAGTTTGCTTGAACCTCATGCCAACATTTTAAAGGATATCTCTCCTAAAGGACCATTATTGTCTTTAAATACATTCTTAATCCAACTTTTGTTTGAAATTTCATACTTTGATTTTAAGCTCGGTTTCCCCTGTATGTTTTCATCACACATGCTGCTCCAGGTGTCCTGGCTGTTCTGTGTTGTGTCTACGATGTGTGTATGTTTGTGTTGTGTTATATACTCATGTGCTTGTCCTGTGTATGTTACAACAGTTCTTTTATAGTAACAAGAAATTGGTGTTTAGGAACAAACATCGTCCATGGTGGCTACATTTCACATTTTGCTTTCTATCCATTAAAATTTTTTCGTCTCCAAACAGTTTCTGTCCCAAGATCTTTTTGTTTTGTAATCTTGTAAACAGAAATTGGGTTTTCAATTTCCTAACTGACGCCAGCTTAATTGTCTATTTGTATGAATGATCATTTTCTTTATCAATATCATTGGAACATGGTACATGTAATTGGTAATGAATGTTAGGTGTTATATATTGTTAGAAATCATGGCCCTTTGTCCAAATTATTCATTACTAATTTTGAGCTAGGTCAGGACCATTGTGGACTGGTTAGACAAGGGGTGGTGTGGACCAGCTAGGCTGAAACTAGTGTGGACTGGTTAGACAAGGGGTGGTGTGGACCAGCTAGGTCAGGACCATGGTGGACTGGTTAGACAAGGGGTGGTGTGGACCAGCTAGGTCAGGACCATTGTGGACTGGTTAGACAAGGGGTGGTGTGGACCAGCTAGGCTGGAACTAGTGTGGACTGGTTAGACAAGGGGTGGTGTGGACCAGCTAGGCTGGAACTAGTGTAGACTGGTTAGACAAGGGGTGGTGTGGACCAGCTAGGCTGAAACTAGTGTGGACTGGTTAGACAAGGGGTGGTGTGGACCAGCTAGGCTGAAACTAGTGTGGACTGGTTAGACAAGGGGTGGTGTGGACCAGCTAGGCTGGAACTAGTGTGGACTGGTTAGACAAGGGGTGGTGTGGACCAGCTAGGCTGAAACTAGTATGGACTAATGAGGCTAGAACTAGTGTGGACTAACTAGGCGAGGGCTAGTATGGACCAGCTAGGCTGGAACTAGTATGGACTAATGAGGCTAGAACTAGTGTGGACTAACTAGGCGAGGGCTAGTATGGACCAGCTAGGCTGGAACTAGTGTGGACTAATGAGGCTATAACTAGTGTGGACTAACTAGGCGAGGGCTAGTATGGACCAGCTAGGCTGGAACTAGTGTGGACTAATGAGGCTAGAACTAGTGTGGACTAACTAGGCGAGGGCTAGTATGGACCAGCTAGGCTGGAACTAGTGTGGACTAATGAGGCTATAACTAGTGTGAACTGGCTATGCTAACCCACTGCAGACGGCTAGATTTAAGCCAGTGTGGACGGACAATATTAGGCCCAATGTTGACTGGCTAGGTTGGTGCTGGTGAAGCCCGTGTGAATTGGATACGTAAGGACGTGTGTAGTATGGCTGGATTGCCTAGGCTGGGGCCAGTGTGAAGTGGCTATGTCAGGACCAGTGAATATTGGTTAAGGCTATTGGGGACTGGCAAGGTCAGGGCTAGTGGGAACTAGCTAGATTAGGATAAATTTAGTCATGGTGGACTGGATAAGTCAGGACAAGTTTACGCTGTGGGCAGCGTGGACTGACGAGATTTGGACCAGTAGGCATTGACTAGGTTAGGACCAGTGGGCATTGACTAGGTTACGGGCAGCGTGGACTGACGAGATTCGGACCAGTAGGTTATGGGCAGCGTGGACTGACGAGATTCGGACCAGTAGGCATTGACTAGGTTAGGACCAATGGGCATTGACTAGGTTACGGGCAGCATGGACTGACGAGATTCGGACCAGTAGGCATTGACTAGGTTAGGACCAGTGGGCATTGACTAGGTTACGGGCAGCGTGGACTGACAAGATTCGGACCAGTAGGCATTGACTAGGTTAGGACCAGTGGGCGGTGTGGACTGACGAGGTAAGGACCAATGAGGAGTGGCTATGCTGTTGCTGGAGTAATCTGTGTTGACTGACAAGGTTAGGACCCGTGGGGGGACTGGCTAGGTTAGGACCAGTGAGGAGACTGGCTAGGTTAGGACAAGTTAGGACTGGCTTGGTTAGGACCAGTGAGGAGACTGGCTAGGTTAGGACCAGTTAGGAGACTGGCTAGGTTAGGACCAGTTAGGACTGGCTTGGTTAGGGGAGATGTGGAATAGTAAAGTTTCAACAATTTGGCACTGGGAAGCCTGTTAACTCAAATGTTGTGCACGCTGTGTTGTGGTACTGACCTACTAAACTTACTACAGCTTCCTTTCAGCCTGTGACCTATTGGTTGTCACAGTAACATGTGACCTTTCTGTTGTCACAGTAACACCACTAGCTTTATTGTCATTAACATCTATTAATATATACGGTACACAGAGGCATTTCATGTTGATCTTCAATTTCAGGTCACCCTTATGTGAAAAGGAAAATTGAATCTAATAGTCTTTTAACTAACCAGAGAAATTGGGTAGAAACAGATTATCATTGAAATATACCGATTTCTGAACATTTGATTACTCCCACACAAATAAACATCTGTTGACTTCATTACCTTCTCTCTGGATATGAACTGATTCTTCCATTTACATTGCTTTGCCAGACATCCTTCTTTGTTATCTTCCAAAAGACTAATAATTATGTATCTGAACATGTAAACCACTACAAGTCGGTAAATTGTGGTCTTCTGTCTTTATATACTCAAAAGTCAAATTGATGATTTAATTTATGTTGAACTTATTAACTCGCTATAGAAAAATAATGGTCAAAGGTCAACAGGTCAACCCTGTGCAAGGGTCAAATGATTTATATTGACAGATTGAAAAAATGTTAGGTATTGAGTTCTGGCTAGCTGTTGTAAATACTGGTAGATGTCCTCTTCGAGATGTTGAAACTGTCAGTACACAAACAAAACTACTTTTTATATACTTTGCATTTCAGGACAATAACCCATTCAGTGAAGAATATTTAGAGAGAGAACAGATCCAGAAACAACAGAACAGGATACACATGCCGGGTCAACAGTCAGCAATGGGACAGCCTCCCAGTACTGGCTCAGGTAAATGTCACTGGGCCTGGGACATTAACCTTCACCAGATGGCTTATGTTTGATAACATTGTAAATCTTTTCTAAAGGTTCATTCAAATGATTCTTCTTTTGTAGAATAGAACGTATGTAGGATAATAAAACTTGGTGTATATATTGATCATAAACAATGTGCTGTGTTTCAATATGAGGGCCTGCAACACCATTATCACAGAGTTATTGCCCTTTGTTAAAATTTTCTGTGTTCCAAGCATAACTTCGCCTGCATTTAAAGTAGGGTATTGAAAAGTGGTGTATACATCAGTCATACAAAACTAAGGTTCAGTGGGGCTAAGTTTTGGCCCATGACCGCCTCGGTACAGAGTTATTGCCCTTTGTTAATATTATTTGTCATGAACATAACTTTGCTTGCATTTAAACTAGAATAATAAAACTTGGTTTAGACATTTTATACATATTAAAAGAATGTGCAGTATACCAAATTCTGGTCCTGCAACTCCCTAATTACAGAACTATGGCCCTTTGTTAAAAGTTGGTGTCCAGTAAAGTGGTTTTCAGGGAGCATTCATCAGTTTCACTGATACACTTGTTTTACTAGTCCCTTAAGCTTTGAAACATCAAAGTTTACTGTATTTGAAAAGAACTATTGTCCATTTTATGGCTTCAAGTTTTCACACACAATATTTAGTAAAGCTGTAAATCTTTGAACTAGCAAAAATAAATCTCTACGAAAAGGGATCAAATAGGTGTTTGAAAGGTATATATTTCTATGTTTAGGAGACACCCCTGATGCTAATCGTCAGATGCACCAGTTCTATGGTGGGGAACGCCCACCTTTTGAAGGATCTGGTCCCTTTGCCGGACCTAGGATGCCAGTTCCTGGGGAACCTAGACCTAGGTTTTCAGGGGAACATGGACCACGTTTCCTAGGAGATCAAGGACCACGGTTTCCTGGCGATCCTAATCAGGGTCCACGGTTCCTAGGGGATCAGGGACAGCGGTTTCCAGGTGATCCAAACCAGGGACCAAGGTTTCCAGGGGAGCAAGCACACAGATTTCCTGGAGATCAGTCTGCAAGGTTTCCAGGGGACCAACCTGCAAGATTTCCAGGCGATCAATCCCAGAGGTTTCCAGGTGACCAAGCCCAAAGGTTTCCAGGTGACCAAAGCCAGAGGTTTCCAGGTGAGATATAACATTTGATTTTTTATTTTTTCATGTTTACTTTTCTGAAGTCTTGTGTTGTTATCTGTAGGGAGCAAACCACAATTTTTAACTTGTGTCCCAGAGAAATTCAGAAAGGCTATAGGGCCATGTTTGGACAGAAAATTAACCAACAAATGATATCATCTTCAAAGATATTGCACTGCAATGACTTAAGTAGTACACATTTGAAAATAGTGGGAAAAAATGACTCAATTTTTTGTTTGAAATATCTTGTTGTAGGCCAGAGATTTATGTTTGATCCTCGTATGAGTAGTCCAGGAGAGCGCCCACCATACCCAGGACCAAATCCACAGACAATGAGGATGCCTGCTATGTCTGCAGGATCAGCTGGGCAAGGAGGCATCCCCACCTTTCAGTCAAGTAAGGAATCACATCCTCATAGTCTGTAGATTCTTGAATGGATCGCAAATTATTGTTTTTGTAGGCAGTAGTAAAAACTGATTCAACCCAAAATGTTGTGTACTTAAGTCTTTGTTAAAAAACAAAAGATGAAATTTTGTTTCCATGACTGTATGATATAAATGAGTTTAGTGCTCCCTGAACGGTTTTGATGAAATGAAGTTCAGTTGCTTGTTTGTCTGCCTATCCAAGATGCTTGTGTGGGCCATAACTTCCACTTCCACAAGACAGGTCTATGAAATTTCATGAATATATATTTCATTGTAAACAGTTATGTTATGTACCATTTTGGTTCATATACCTAAGGTCACTGATTTTAGATAAAACTTTTTAGACAGTACAACTAAGGTCAAGGTTACAGTTAGATCAGTAATCAAATTTATTATCTGGCCCAACACCAACAGAAAGTAGTTCAAGGATGAACTGGCAAAGTGTCACCTACTGCTTTTGGGTCATGTATGTTCAATGTTATCTGAAAGGGGCCTGCATCATCTGTATTGCTGAAGGTAGATAATAAAATATAGATACATGCCTTCAAATTGTAAAATTTCAGGGCGTACATTCTGTCAGTTGAACAGATTTCCTGTAACAATTATGATTTGTTTAGTAAGAATTGAAATTGATGGTTTGCTTTTGAATTTTAAAACTTTCATTATACGTATAAAGTATTGTTAAGAGCTGATGGTGATGGCACCTTGCTGAGTGATCATACCAAATTAATCTTTTGTGGGAGTTTGTATTAATCTGACATTAACTGTGTGAAGCTTGTAATATATACTCTAGTTATATATAGAGCACTCAATGTGTCCAATATATCAGTGTTATCTTCAGTTAACTTGTTCACAACAGTACACAGTAAACTTTTCATCAAAGCTGTCAACCTGAAACTAAACTTGTGCACCCTGTATTGGATTGATTTTCTGTAAACATTTTTTTACATTATGTAATAGAAAAAGACCTCTATTCCACAAGTTTTGCAGCTCTTGTGTACTAATTGTGTCTGCAGTAACCTCAAGGCTGTGATTGCAAAGTGGATGTCCGAGGTCGAATCATGATGTTAGTTGTATTGTCTATCATTGTAGAGGATTAAGATAATCTCTACAAAACTATGTAATATAACTCTTTAAATATGAACTAGAACAAATTCTGAAAGTCTCAATACTTTAGCTTTGTTGAGGTTTGAAGTGACTTGTAATGAAACTGATAATTGAGCTAAGTGTACTGGTTGTGTGACAAGGTGACTGACAGATTTACTAATTACTTACCTATTTACAAATTTAATTAGATTTTCTTTAATGAAAGTGATATAATTTAGCACTGAACAGTGAATTAGGTAAAGATGTTTTTGATAGAGTTCTGATGATACGGTTCACTTATCATGTGAATTGACTTGTAACTCTTTAAAATACCAGTCAAAAGTTGGTGTAGGTGGTGGTAAACGGGACTACCAGAACAGAAGGTACATTGTGAACAAATTAAGAGTACATTTTTGAAATTTTTTTTCCCCAAGATTTAAAGAACATTTTACAAAAATACAGATATGAATGTACTTTATATTATGGTCACTTCAGATATGTTATTGAGTTCACAAGGATACACTAACTGTCTGTAGAACTTATGGTCACTTCAGATATGTTATTGAGTTCACAAGGATACACTAACTGTCTGTAGAACTTATGGTCACTTCAGATATGTTATTGAGTCCACAAGGATACACTAACTGTCTGTAGAACTTATGGTCACTTCAGATATGTTATTGAGTTCTCAAGGATACACTGACTGTCTGTAGAACTTATGGTCACTTCAGATATGTTATTGAGTTCACAAGGATACACTAACTGTCTGTAGAACTTGATGTTGTGATAGTGCTTGTCTGTGAAATTGAACAGAACATAGAGAATTTTCTTCTTATTTTTCTGTCTTTAAAATCTTAAGTTTTTTTATTTTGTTTTTATCAACATTTTTTGTATGTTTGTAAGGAAAAATGCTGATTAATGCAGGAGAACAAGAAAGTTGTGATTTTGGTTTATTTACATTATTATCTAGACATTAACCTAGTGTTGTTAAATTGTGTTGTACATATTAATGGCATCCATATATTCTATAAATTAAAACTTGTAGTCAGTGTTTCAGTACAACATCTCTCAGTTCTGGTAGTATCAAAGGATTTTTTGATGTTTTATTTCATGACACTATTATGATACAATAACCACTTTCTGGCAAATTGTCGAAATATTCATCACAGAGCAAATTGAAAACCAAAGAAAGATACTGAGAGATGTTTGAATGTTTATGTGTGTATTATGATTTGTCTTTTCTTTCTTTTAAACTTTGCTGTAGATATAACCACAGGCTGACTTGAGTTTTAGCTGAGAGCCCAGCTCAGAACTTTGTTAACATGGTTGCTTTTCTTGCTTGTTTTTTGTGCATCCCTCTTAACCCCCAACCTGGCTAACTAGCATGTGACTCCTGCCCAGTAGTAGTAGAATTATTGTACTGTTCACTGCTGTTTTTCCTTCTCCTTAACCAACTGCCAGGCTTATACTTCTGGATGGTTCATTTTTACAGAAGATTCATTTCAGTGATGGTGTTTTTCATATTAATCTAGACTGATTCTTTGTATTAATCTGTTTGGGAGAGAATGTTTTCACACAGATCTATTGGCATATCAGATAAAAAAAAATTGAAATTGTGCAGAAATGCAAACAGATTGTGAAAGAAAGATATCACAATGATCTATTCCATATCTTTATTAATCTATGTTAATTAGTAGGAGACAAAGTTCAATTGTTGTAATGCAAATGTGAGAACCCAATTTCAAAATTTCTTCTCTACCTTCATTTATATAGTTTCAACATTAAAGGAAAATAAATTTCATGATATTTGCCACCAACACTTCGTTGAAACCTTTTAAATTAAGTTTTTATTACCATGGATTATTATGGTTATGGATTTTTCCATCGTGTGTCATCCATCATCTGTCCATCTGCCCTCAAACATTTCTTGTTATTGCTATTTGTGTAAAAGTTCTGGATGTATCATTTGAAATTGTATGCAGGTACCCGATGGTCCCTAGTAGTACATTATGGGACAGATAAAAAAAATCTAGTTGTACCTATTTGAATTTGGTAGAAATCAGAAAAACAATAAGGCGGACAGGGTGCCTATCTTGGATTTTGACATTGAAAATTTGTTACTGTTCTTGGAAGGTAATTGATGGATCTTTCTCAAATTTCTTATGTAGGTTCCCCTTTGTCCCGAATTGTGCCTTTTTGATTTTGGGATTGATTAAAAAATGAAATGGTAACAGGAATTTATC